TACATGTGCACTGATACGTTCTAGTTTAATTGGGGAGATCATTGTCTCAATGGCGTATGGGCGACAAATATGGAATACTTTACAGCAGATGGATGTAGCCGCTCTTCTCCTTCTAGAGGTAGAACATCGTATACAGAGAGAGTTTTGGTGGCGAAGTGAAACCCGATACGATCTGCAAGGTACATTCCGGGACAAATGCTATCAAGGCTTGAGAGCAGGAAACCTTTGGCCACTGTAAAGACATACCGCATTCCGAATCCAAAGACCAGAGTAAGGGGATTAGGCAGCTCCGACGCGTTTGGTGCGAGATGCCTTTCTGGTCTGAACACTTCCGGGTCACCCCAGATCCTCGCGTCATTCAACATAAACCTAAAGCGAAAAGAGTAAGTATATTTTGTTTATATGTATGGTATTGATATGAAATTACCCGATATTTGGATTGATGATGCTGCCTTTCGGAAGAAAGTAGCCATTAATGTACTCATCGTTGAGGTTTACGTGGGGTATACCTATGAAATGGTCACTCGACAAGTCCAGATAATACAGAGATCAATTTATTCTACTCACCAAAGGGAACGCTGGGATTCCATCGTAGTGACTCCTTCCACACCGCTTCGGTATACGGGAGGTTCGCTCTGTCGCTCACATTCGGTAGCCTTTCATTTCCGACAACACTCGCTATTTCATCTTGTACCTTTTGTGCGACATCTGGGAAGAGATACATGGCCAGCAGGAAAAAGGCAACGGCGCTGGTCATCTGATATAGTGACTTGAATAGGAGGCATTAACCGCTGGAGAAGACGTACGGTATCAACACCCGCTACATCCGATGATTAGCTCGAAATGAAGGACCGAAAGAGAGGAACCTACTGAAATAAAGAATTCCCATGCCATCTCTAATGTTGCCGGACGGCCCATTTGCTTCCAAGAGGTCATTAATCAAAGAATGGTCCAGCTTTCCTGACTTCTAAGAGAATAAGAGCGTCTCAGAAACGCATCTATATGATTAGGATGGCGACACACAAATAGTTTTAATGCTTCCCCATATGGCCACTCGCGAATCCGGTTCGTTAATTTAGTTGAGTAGATGCCCACACGACTAGAAGGCGGCATGTGAGATTATTCAAGTCAATAGATAGTTGGATTTACCGAAATTCTGCCCCGGGCATCCAGCTGGGGATGAAGCGCACTGAAAACCTCATTAGCGGGATAATGCCAGAGTAGTGTTAAAGAACCTACTCCAGTTGAAGATATCGACCAACCAGAACTGAGTAAAACTCTTGGTCAATATGTCCATGGCCTCGATATTGAGTTTAACCATGTCCGGTCCATGAGCATTCCATATTTGTCGCCCATACGCCATTGAGACAATGATCTCCCCAATTAAACTAGAACGTATCAGTGCACATGTAACGGGCGATGAGGAGACTGTGCATACAGGGATAGTGGCGAAACGATATCGCCTTGGAGGCTTTGAGCCCTAACCAACCATTGACTAGAGATGCGCTCGATCAAATCATCATGACTCGCTACACGCTGGGGTCCTATTCCATGTCTAAACATTTTCCGCATGGCGAGATGTGTTGCGTCAGCCGGTCTAGCTCCAAAACTCCATCCCCACCCCATCCTACATCATAAACACGAGGGTTTCATGGCATAAGAGAAGATATAATCGTCAGAAGAGACACAGAAAGTCGATTATGTTACGCAACGTACAGGTCTCTGCACATAAAGCCAATTTTCCGACCTGAGGTGTTATTCGCTCTCTCTTGGATAACAGCTCGTGCGCCGTATCCAGGGAGTTTATAATGACAAAAGGAAGCATAGGAACATCCAAGAATACGATATCCCCTGAGAACACCTTTCAATCTCGATCCAACATGGGGACACTACAACCAACTCGGACATACCGTACTCTTTTTGCCATTCATTGAAGATAGGCCACCAATTATCTTTCGGGAACTGTCGTAGATTGCCGATGAGAGGGTCCTTGGGTGGGCCTGGTGGATACACGACTCTACTTTTTGGACGAGAGAGAGCTCTGTTGCATGCGTAGAGCACCGAGAATGTAACGAGGCCTATTCCTGCTATTTCCACGTAGGAGCTTTCCTTGAGTCGGGTTGTGACTAGTTCCATCGTCGATGAAGTGCTGACGAGGGTTAAGAGACTTGTAAATGGGAGGACGGCGTCGACGGCGCAAAGATAACAATAGAGACTGCAATGTTCATCGCGTATAATTCGATTCGTTCGTCAGAAATCACGAATTTCCGATCGTCATTGTCACCCCACCAAGACAGATGAATTGTTTTCCACTGAAGACTATGAAGGATGGGACCAAATTAACTGTGCGAGTAACCTGCCCCCGAATTGCACCATACCGCACTAGGGCTGTTTAGCGAGCATGACCATATATGATTCTTCTTAATCCTTATGTTTATGCGTTTGGAATATAGCTTCTATGATTCCCATTTACAAAATTCAAGAAGTTTCTCCTAGGCGAATGGGATATGTATTTACAAAACTGAGCTACATTTATCGATCATAGTTGCCTTCTAATGATTTAAATACGCGTGCCGGGTAGACCGGTGAGCTTGACAGTTTCCTCAAGGTACGGGGTCCCTCAGCAATTGACTCTGGTACGTGGGTTCGAATACAACCACTTTGCAATCTTCTTATGAACATAATGGAAACATTTGGTATGAGAGATACCCCCCC